AACATTTTGAAGAGAAAACAGTTGAACTCACACCAGAAGATAATCTTACACTAGAAGATAAACTTACTCAGGAATGTGAAAAATTAATGGATGCTAGCTTCAGAGAGCTACTTTTATTGAGTAAGCAATTTATCTTCCTCAGATGACTTCTGTGCAGTATTAAGGTTAAGAATTTATTTACATGAAAATGAAATATTTTTCTAAAAAAATAGTGCTTCACCTTTGAGACATGGTAGATGATACCACTGATTCAGACTGTGTGACAAGGTCATTTTCTGTGAAGCAAACTGTTTTGTCTGTGCTTAGAGATAGTAGAATAGTTAGCAGAACACAGTACCACATCATGGGTTTATTTACCTGCAAGAAACTGCAGTGCATGCTGGCTGCCATTATGAATATGGAAGTCCCAGATCGCACCATGAATTAGTCAAGGATTGCTTAACCATTTAATAACCCCTGCCACCAGAGTTCACACAGCATGACAAATCATCATGACTCTCAGGCAGGGCTTGTATGTTCATAATGGTGGATAGAATGTGCCATGGCATCTGGTGGATTAATTAACCCATAATAGACTGTTGTGTCATCTGAACCAGATTAGTGTGTGTTTCCTTAAACAATAACACCAACACTTTCACACACATCGCCCAAAAACTCACAAAGGGCAAAGATTATTCTAATCATCATTGATAAGAGACTGGGCCCATTAAAATAAATGGAATTTAAGTTAATCATGACATTCCTGGTATGGCAATGTGTATGGGCAGCAGTGTGCCTGCTGCTGCTTAGCCCTAAAATCCCATGATTAAACACCTTGCTTGTTGTATAACATAATGTGTATATAAACATATTTTTAACTAGGCAACAATGTTGGAAAAACTGAACATCCATGTTTTAAGCACACTTTGATAATCCTTTCCTCCCCCCCCAAAAAACCCCCCCACCACAGACCAGATCATGAAATGCATAACTGACCACAGCCAATTAGTAATACATCAATACAAATGCAAGTCAACCTAACAATTGCCCCAGGGTGACTGTCCTCATTTGAATACCCCACCAGATAAACAAATGGGAAAACAGGCAGTCCTTAGATGTCCATGCCCTTTTTCCCTGACCACAGATTTACACAGTCCCCCCCCCCCCCCCCTTCTAAAAAGCTGAAATACTTCTCCTAAGGCTTGGTTTCTGACAGTAAGAGTTATAAAAAAATAGGCTAGCATTTTTAGCTTTGGCTCCATGCACCACTGAAATACAGCACCCAAGAGCTTCTCCAAATTTGAGCTTTGCTTTCAAGTTCAGAGAGGTTCAACATTTCTGTCCTACAGCAAGGAGTGTTGCAAAGCAGGAGAAAAACCAAGCCCTTGATGGTAAAAGATATCTCTCCAGTATATGAGCAGATGACATGTATCTCTGGTTGTTATAATGAAAAAAATGTAAGATTGCTATTCTCTCATAAAATAATAATCTGGAACAGATAGAAGTCATGTTGTTATAATCACTTTTAACTTTCCGTCAGAAGAGAAGAATATTCCAGGCATGCAGAGAGTTCTTTTTAAAACTTTATTGCAATGAAGGGAACAGAAAGGAATGGTTTCCTTCCCATTTTTCTGTTCACCTCAGCAAATGTTCACACACCCCTTTTGAACCCTGCTCCCGGCTGCTTGTTCTCTCCTCCTTTCCCCTAATTGGCTAGGGTACTGAGAGTTACATTCTTTCCGCCTGCCTACTCCAGCCCTTCTTCCCAATCCAGCCCTGCCCCTGGTGGGCTACAATATGCTCATTTTGTTCTGCCCAGCTTGTCAATAAACAATCAGGAAGTATTTGGCCCTCCTGCCTACCTGCCTGTTTCCCCATACCTCGTGCTATCTGATTTTGGCCCCTCCCCTCCTTCGGGCTAAGTAATTTTCTTTGTTACCTTTTCAAATTTCTTTACTCCCTTGTTTCAAATCATCCTTTCACACCTATCAATGTTTACACAAAGGTGATGAATTTGTTCTCCCTAAGGCAGGGGTCTCAAACTCTCAGCAGGCGGGCCAATTGCCGGGACGGGCAGGGCACGGGGGAGGGGTCCTGCGGCCTGCAAAGCGCCGGCGGTGCCCGGGCTGGCCGCAGGATGAGCGGCTCACCACCACCGTGGTGGTGGAATACTTGATGCGGCCCAGCCTCACCCAGACTCTACTTCCAGCGGCCCCCAGGTAAGTTGAGTTTGAGACCCCTGCCCTAAGGTCATAAGTTGCTTAGCTGCAAAAGTATAATCCACTTGCCTAAAGAAACCACAATCAGAGAAACAGGATGCAGAAGGAACGTAAATTTTTTTTACAGAAAAATATCAGGAAAGGGTGCTTGCTTCATTTAAGAAATTGCCTAAGATAAGAAATGCCTAAAGAAAACTATCATGTGATGCCTTGTTTACTCTGTAGTATACAAGGAGGACATGAAAATAGTTTGGGATCTCAGTTTGGAGTGATCCACTGTGTGTTCTGCAGAATGTTTTTTTGAAATCTTCACATCCCTGTTGTGTATTAATTGAGCTATACACACACCATGAATGCATCTGCATTTGGACAATAATTATACCACTTAAGATCTCAGATTGAATGATAATTCTGTTTAAATATGCCTGGTAAATAACCCTAACCTTTAATATATCAAATCAAAGATGTCACTATCATATTTCTTCCAAACATCTGTGCATAAGGAGTTTTACTGTGTTCTGGGAATGTTTCCTTATGTAACCTGTACAGAGGTACACAGCTGCCAGGTTTGCCACCACTGGAAGCATTAAAAATTTAATAGTCTTCTCTTTGTATATCTGACGTCAAACTACATTGTTGTATTGACTTTATATTTTGCATAAAACTTTTATGTAAAGTCATATTTTAAAGCAGTGCTCATTTTAAAAATCTACACCTTAATGGAAACCTTGCTGGAGTTTTCATTACCTTAAGAAACCATCCATTAAGAACTGCTCCCATGCAAATTCTAAAGCTGTGTCTACTGAAGGCTTTACTCACTGCACTTTTGTCATTGGTCACACTTCTAGCTGATTCTCATGTAAGCAAAAAAAAGTGTTCATCTAACTGTATACAAAAATAAATTGATACTTTGCTGTACAATTCTGAAATAATTATTTTTTTACCTATCCATCACAGAAGGCTCAAGAAATACTTTCTAGAAAAGACCAGAAGCCTCAGTGTTTGGAGTCTCACACTGGGGAAAAAATGTAGAAATAATAAACCTCAGTCACCACTTTAGTGTCACCTTTTTTCAACCTCCCAGAGAGTACTTAGTCCTTAGGAAATGGAGGAGGGCTGGGTTGAAACTGAACATTATAGCACAATGCTAGCTGTTGCCAAAGGTAGCCTGATACCTCTTATCCCTTTAAATGTAGCAATACTAAATGCATTGCTTCTTGTTGTTGCATTTCTATACCACCCAATAGCTTGAAGCTCTCCTGGCAATTTATAACAATTCCTAATTATACATGCAATATATGTACTGCACTGGTATAGTAGAATGTTGAACTAGGATCCAGGAGATCTAAATCCTAGTACCTCTTCTGAGCTGGGATTCTCCTTATCCTTCAAAGCAGATCTGGACAGAAAACCTTTTGACCAAAGTCTTTATTATGTTAAAGCTGACCAGCTATTCTGGTTTTGTAATAAGAAAGATACTAGCAAAATTGGGATACTGGCTATTGGGCAAATAAAGGTTCATGATATGACATTGATTCTAGACTGAATACTTCTCTTCCCTTCAAAGCCACAAAAAATGTTCTGAAAACATTGGTGAAAGTCTGTCTATTCACTGAAAACTCAGAGTCAACAAACTTTGAAGGCTGTTTTATAGGAGAAGTGGATGCAAACCTTATAGTTTCCACTTAGTCATGAAACTCACTGGGTGACTTTTGGCCATTCACAGAGTCTGAGCTTAGTGTTACCCACATATTTTTATGAGAATAAAATGGAGGAGGAGACTCTTGTAAGCTGTCTTGGGTTCTTTGCAAGAGGAAGAAAGACAAGGTATAATAAATAAATGACTTTACCCTAATTAGTAGCAACTGGTGAAGGTGTGCAAAGAAAGTTGTGACACAGCCCCATCATGCCATCCATTTTTTATTCCTAAATGTTATGGGAGATCAGTGACAAAGGAGAGCTCTAGCAATGCTGGTTGATCTCCGTCTCCCTAATCCCCTATATCATCCCCTTATGCCCTGGTACTATAGCATTGGAGTTAATCTTGCCAGGAAGCTGGACAACACTTGCACAAAATTATTGCACCAGTAAACTCTGTTTCCTTTCTTAAGGAGTTTGCAGGAGAAATCCCCTGTCCCATCCCATCCCCACACACACATGGAAGGAACTGTGTAGCAACATCAAATCATGGACTGTTTGGAGGGCAGCTAACACTGATTCTACATTTTCTTGTCTGCTTGTGTAAAATGGGTAATGGACCAGCACTTAGGTACATGTTAATAATGAGAGCAGAATGTTTTCAGTGAATAGACAGACTTTCACCAATATTCCAGAACATGATAGACTTTTTGAACAGGCATGATTCATTAGTAAAATAGCTCAGAAGTAATCCTTTCCTCCACTCAGAATCCTGTGCTTGAAGATTTCCTGGCTTATTTAACTCTGATTGCATATATTTCATCTGTGTTGTTTGAAATGTGCAAGTTTTTGCCTATTCCAAAACTTAGAAGCACACTTTTCTGGTGCAGACATAACATGAAATTGTCAATGAACCCAAACAATCTTCAATTGTGGTACAGGAGAAGAAAAAGAGATGGTAAGAGAATGAAGCGTGTTGGTTAGAGGCTCATATAAGGCTATCTTTGCTTAATAAACAGACATTTATTTACATAGTAAATGTATTACATCTATTTAAATGTTTTAAACAATTCTAGATGAGCCAATATGTCAGTTTGTCATGCATTCAGACATTAACATGAATATTGTTCCTCTTCCATCTCAAAATGCTTGTTCATTTTTCAGTACCCATTGTAAAGCAGACTTGGGAAGGAGAAGCGACCCTTATTGAATATTTCAGTGATTATGCAGAAAGCTCAATACCCACAATTGATTTAGGTGTTCCAAATACTGATAGAGGTGAGTTTTAATATTGTGTGACATTTCTTTGGGTAACAGAATGTTTTCACAGCAGAATATTGAAAAGTTGACAAGTTGCCTTGTGCTAGCTTATCTTCAGGTTAGAGTCCCTGGTGTTCCCTCTTAAGATGCAACAGGTAGGATTCATAGTTCTCCTTCATGGTACCTGTGACCCATACATAAAGGTATTTTTTAATTAATTGTGCAATACAGAAAACTCCCCAAAGAACAAAAAACAACAAAACTGAAAGATTACAAATTTTGAATAAAATGTACAAAAATCCATAGTTCTAATTATGTATATATATCTCTATATGTTAATAAGAGAACATTTTAATTAAAAGTTTAAAAATTATGCATAGTCTTTAACAAAGGCACTCCAAGTTATCCATATATTTATCAATGTTATGCCTAAAGACCATCCATTCAGTTTCTTTAAATCTTCCATGCATTGTTATTGTGAGTGGTCGTTAATCTTCATATGTGAGTCTTCTAGCTGGAAAAATGGTGTGGATAATCCCTTTATATTAACCTTGTGTTAAATTCTAAGAGATGGCCAGGTAATTCAAAAGAGCATGGATAGTCTGAATGTTAAAAAAACTATCCATCACAAGATTTATCTCAATTATTACCTCTTCCCAAAAGAAAGCTGCCATTGGGCATTGCCAGAACATATGAAGAAGAGAAGCATTAGCAGCATTGCATCTCCAGCACTTGGCCAGTTTATTCTTATCAGAATGTTGTTGTGGCATTCAGCATACTTGAAACGTCATTTTTTGCAGAATTAGGTGTTGTCTAGGATCTGTGGTCTCTTTCAAAATAAATAATAATACAAGACTCCTTTGATTAGGCAAGATGGGGTGCTCCAGTTAATTATTCCATTATTGATTTAGACCTTGTGTGTCATATTTATTCATTTATAATAAATATTTAAATAAATGAATTGTAGGCTGATCTAACTGTTCATCCTAGGTCAGTTCTTTCATACAGGCAGATCTGAAGCTGTAAAAGCAACAGGACCAAACCTGAATTCCAGCAAATATCTCAGTTGCATATACTGCCATGCAGTTGTAACTGGCAACTTATATTTAACACTCAAAGCAGAGAATGGCAGAAAATGGTTGTCAGGACTGACAAGCTGATCCAAAGTAAAAATCAGCCTGTCCATCTAAATCCATCAAACAAATGTTTTCTTGCTAGTTTTTTGATCTGGATTTCCCCACAAAGTTAGATTCGTGTGCAAAAATATGTTAAACAGCAGCTGACATAAAAATATATGCCAAAGTGATCTAACTACCACAGCTGGAGGGAACACATCCTCTGTTTTGGTATGACAAGATCCCAATGCAATTCACTTGGGAAGAGGATCCAGGAATGATCATTCCAAAACAAATCAGGAAGGAGAATTTAAGTAGGAGTAAAATCTAGTACAAGTCAACAAATAGGTCTAATGGTACAAGTAAAGGTCAGAAAAACCAAACCTACCCTCTTTGATTGAAAGTTACATCAGAGGATATTTGTTGTAGAGTGGAACCTCATAAAAATTGATGGAACAAAACATTAGTCTTCCGGTAATGCCTATAAATAAGTGTATTTACCTTACCCATACATGTAATTCTATTGATGCCAATCTGTCAGTGTCCCTTGAAATCTCATTAATCAGCTTACTCAAATTTAACTTAAATCATCTCTTGGGACAAGTATGCCAAGATAGGTAATAGACTTAGCCAAAGTCTAAATTGCAAATTGGATAACATACTGTGGAGTATATTATCTCTAGTAAGTCTAAGTTCTAAGATCAGCTAATAGAAAATAATTAGATATATGTCCAAAACCATTAATTGTCTACAACAAAGCCAGAGCAGGTAAATGGGGCTTGCCCCCACCCCCGTAAAAGAAAAAGATCATAAACTTGGAGAGTAAGGATTTTGTTGAATAGCACATACCAGGGGTTCCAAATATCCATTGGTCTTAACAATGCATATAGGAGCTTCATGTAAAATTTTGGCTCATTTCTGAAATTCTGGAGGAAAACTTAATTTTTTTCAATGTGGAAAAGATAAATTTTGGGTAAATTTTATTTAATCTATGAAATAGGGTAATAATTAGCATGGAGAGTATGATCTCTATTTGGTTAAGGAATTACTGTAACATAAGTAACATTGAATGCTGATAAGAGAGAACCCAATTAAAAAACAGAGTTGTACAAACAATGTTTGGAAACCAGAAACATGGAAAATGTTTTATAGCATTCAGTTGGAAATCCATTTGGACCAAGTGCTTTCCCTGTTTTCATATTAATTGTCTTTGTAATCTCATCTATCTCCAAAGGTACCATTAAAACTACCTTGGGACATATCAATATGGAAAATTACCTGAGGCAGAGGGAACAGTGACATCCTGTTCTAATATTTCACAGCCACAACTGTACAATTCTGAATAAAATGTTAATGTTTGTCTTTAGGATAAGTAAATATTTATTATCAAGTAAATTGTCAAGATAGCATTTTGATGTTTTTATTGTCAAAAGGCAGTTTACCAGTATTTTATGGGCCAGTTTTCCCAATGTGTCCGTCTTAAACTAGTGCAAATTCTATCAGTTGTGAAAAAAATATGCAACTCATATTTAACATGTCATACCTCTTGATAAAGTTGTGTGTTTGGGGAGGTAGCACACTGACTAATAAGAGTTTTCAGCCTATCACTTAGAACTATTTGTTATTCCTTTTAAAATATTTTTATAAGTAACTTAAGCTATAGCTTGAGCCTGAATGAAACTTCACTAACTTCCAACTTCCAATGCAGTGCAGCCTAAATTGGTTGTACCCTTATTGATATCAAAATATTCTTGTAGCTTAGCAAAACCTTGATTTCAAAAAGAATCACCATTCAACAAGGAAACAATGAGGTGCTAAAGACTATTTATTAAGATTATTAAGGTCCAGTTAGAACAACAACAAAAACATCAGGATTATGATGATGATCACAATCATAATGATTTATTGAACTGAAAACACAGTTTATGGATCAAATCACTACCCCTTTAAACTTGGTTGAAATGTCTGTTGCATAGACATCTCCTACTCATTTTCTTGTCAGCTGAAGTGCATCCACCCCTGCTCAATCCTCAGTCATATCACTGATTATTAAGATCAGAATTACCATTACTTAACATTGACAAGCTAAACAAGAAAACATAAGAAGTGCAACAGGGGAGAAAGAGTAGATTAAAACAGCAAAGAAGGAAGATGGCAAAATGCCTGGAATTTCATCCTGTCAAAGTATGTAAGCCATGGCCAAATGCCCAGGGTTTTCCAATCAGCTTTTGAAAAGTAAAATTAAGCAGCATATGAGCAGAATAGGTAGCTCAAAAACCTATAATGAAGGATTCTGCAGTTTCCGTTGATCCAAAGTTCTTTAGTTCATCTTGGAATTCCATTACAAATACAACAGGGTAAATGGCATCAAATTTCAGATTAAGTTCTCTGACCATGCATCATACTTTTGCAAGCTTCCTTTTTTGATCAGATATTTCCTTTGTGAAATACAGCAAAGCATGATTTTGTCATCATCTGGACTCCGTTGGAGCCAGCTGCACAGAGGAGGTATTTTTTAGTTGATATTCACAAGAGCATGACAATAACAGGCCTTGCTCTCACTCCCTGGGTCAGACCAGAAATATGGTAAGCATGTTCAATAGCAAGATGAAAACTTTTTTGAGAGAGGATCAAATGCACATGGTCTATCAGTTTTATATCCAGGGACTGCCTAGGCAACTGAAGCACTTTCAAATTGGCCCTCCAGAAGGAGGCTTCCCAAAGTGAAAAGCAGAAATTATTTTGTGGAAAGAAGCAGGCTTGTGTGATATTTCTTGTTTTCCAAATTTGTAGCTCTAGTTTCTTGCACATCCTTGCAATAGCTTAATTGAAACTTGAAGCTGTTCCATCTTTTTGGACTATTTAGATATCTCCAGTGACATATTCTTCAGCGAAGTAACAATTTCATCTTGTCCCCCTTCTACCCTTGGAGATCTTGGCATAAGATGGATTTGGTGGGAATCCTATGCCTTTCTTAGATTCAGAAAACTGTCATGGTTGAACACTCCCTGGAATGCATTAATACTTCTCTCAATTTTCAAGCAGTTAGAAAATAATACATAGCACTACATACAGAGAGCCAGTGTGATGTAGTGGTTAAGAGTGCTGGACTAGAACTCGGCAATCTGAGTTCTAGTTCCCACTCAGCCATGGAGCCAACTGGCTGCCTTTGGGCCAGTCACAGACTTTCAACCCAATCTGGCTCACAGAGTAGTTGTTGTGGGGATAAGATTTGAGGGCAAGAGGAGAAAGATGTAGATTGCTTTTAAAAAAAGATATAAATCTAATCAGATTTGTTCTTCCTATTCAAGTATCCAGAGCCAAACTCATTTTTTTGTAGAAGCTTCATAATCTAAATGGAAGAACAATCCTCATTCCATCTTCTTAGACAAAGAGGGTAAGATGCTTGACACCGTTGGTCAAAAAAATTATTCTACTGCTGCCCCATCTTGATGGATTTTCAATTAGCAAGCCTGCATGTCATATCAACAATTCCTATGGGATAAAGTGATTCCTCTCTTTGATCAACTACCTGATGATACTAAAAATCTCCCAATCTTCCAAACAGAGGCATATTCACTGGCAAGTCAGCAAATTAATACTGCATGACATGGCGGATTGTGGATCTAAATCAGTGGCAGCAGCCATTTTACTTTGAAGACATACATGATTCTACACCATCCAGAGATGATGAAGAGATGAAATGAGAATAGAAAATCTTCCATTTGATAGGAACAAATTATTCAGTATCTCCATAGATGGCACACATGATCAAGTTCAACAAAGGATAGCTTCAGCCAACAATATGGGCATCACTATCTCCATCAGTTCAAGCAGGGAGTCTGATGGGTAGAAGGGTGCATGGTACACCAGCAGAATCCCCAATCTTTTTCGGTCGCCCAC